AGGAATCCCTAGAAGTTAAGTACTTTTAGGGGCGGACATATAACAACAAGAGCGATAAGTGAAATCGATTTCTTGGATCAATCGATAACATGGCCTGTCCCTAAAAATTTATTTTGTAGGCATTTTAAAACCAACATAAAAATAGAAATTTAAGAAAAAACTTGGGGCAAGTCAAACATGAAATACGAGTGTTTCTGTTTCTAGGATAAAAAAATCATCTCCAATCATCTCTAGGCACGATCTGTAACATGGCTCGCCCCTAGAAATCATTTTCACATTCACTTGCTATCTTGGCATACCATCCACTAAATAAGCTCTTGTGCACACAACTTATTGCTTGTAGGCTCCTCCTTTCTCTCCTCCACATTAGCAAAAATAATGACTAGCTTGGATATAAGACTATTATTAAGCTTGCTCTAATAGAATTTCATGAATGCTTAGCGTAGGGCCTTCTCGGGTAAGTCAGGGCTTACGGGCGCTTATAACGTTTAAAACTCCATTCTTCATCTTAATATGGCATGGTCACGAAAACCCTTGCTCATTAAATTAGGTCTATATAAGAGTAATGCAATATGATAGAAAGTTGAATAAACTTGATTGCTGATCATCCATGTCATGCAGTCACATACATCTTTTTTCTTATCAAATTTTTAGCATGTCTCTTTCATATTAATGTATGTATAAAATGTTCATCCTTGGAGAATAACATAGGATAAAGTAAACATAAAAAATCTATATGTCAAATGAATGAAAATGTATTTCAATGTTAACACTTAACAAATAAGCACGATACTTGTCACGACTTGCTATTGCATTTTGATTATTATGAGCATCATGTGCATAACTGACATCTAAAGATCATATTAGGAAAACTAGATGAATTAGAACACTAAAAATTGGCTTTGTTGTGATTAGACAGACAACCCGTATGATCTGATAAACGGTCTATATGTGCACAGCTGTAGTCGCCTAGAGTGCTTTCAAACATATAGTCCATTCGAAACTATCCATGAAGAACTTAAGCTAGCAGCCACCCCTTGCTTGTGGCCCCACAAGTCAGCATGAGCTGGCAATCCACTCTTGCCCGGAAACCTCAAAACTCAGTTCCTACACTCTCTAACTCCCTTTCTCTATCTAGTTCTTGAGTTTATCAATACACCAAGGAGGAGGAATGGAAGGGAGAATGATGAAGGGGAAGGACAAGATCATCACCACCGGCAGCTCCACTACCACCATGGCAAGGATGAACTAGGAGAGTTCATTCCACTGGCCATTGGGTCGAGAAAAGAGGAGGAGAAAGAAGATGGAGAACCAAGAAAGGAGTCCAATATAATCCATTCTTTCCCCAAGCCTTGTTCTTTAGCACAAGTTGATTCAAGGTAAGCCACTCATACCTACTAGATTTTTGGCCTAATGCCACGAGACATCATTGCAACACCATTAATTTGGGTGCAATAGGTAGGTCATATTGCAACCTTTCTGTAACATGGTAGCAAAACATGACTATATTGCTACGAATAAATTGTGTTGCAATATGTGAGATTTTCGTTGCAATAGGAAGGTGCTACCGTGACCATTTTAGAATTGTGTTGCAATTGGTTGGGAGTATTTCTATGACACTTTGGAGTTGCATTAGTATTGATTTTTGTTGCAATTATTTGGTGTTACTGCAACCATATTGGATTTGGTTGCTTTTGGTTGTAACTATTGCTAAGGTCGGGTTGCAATAATCTTCAATGGTGTTGCAATAGGTAGGTGGTTATTGCAACGAATATTTTACCATTCGATGCAATAACATGTTCCTATTGCCATGATTTTTTTGGTTGTAATAATCTTCAATAGCATTGCAATTGATATATGCTTATTGCAACTAGAATCCTAAAGAATATAGTAACATGTTACGATGTCGTTGGCGGCACTTGTATTTGGTGGGACTTTTGGTGGGGAGGGCCCATCCAAAATGATTTCCTAAGCCCCATGCCGTTTCCAAAACCCTCCAAAAACTCATTGCCAGGAGCCCAGGACCACATGTTAGGAAATATAAAAAAATAGGCAAAAATGAGGCAAAGGTGTGACTTGAACTTAAGACCCACCCATCATGAGGGGGTAGACTTACACTATGTTATGTTAATGTTTATGTTATTTCATACACAATACTCTTTATGTTATAAGTTAACCATTAATACAACTAGTAAAATACAAAAAAGACAAGCACAAGTAGGACTTGAACCGGGGACCCTCCTATCATAATCATAAGGGAGTTGACTTACCACTACATAGTAAAATCTTTGTATTATAAGTTAACTTTTAATACAACTAAAAAAATGATTAAAAAATAAACCAAAAAACACACCGTATGATTTGAGCCTAAGACTAGCCACTTGAACACCAAGCACACCCACCACTACACAATATAGGTGTTTGTGTTTGTTTTTGCATACTAATACTTTGTGTAACAAGTTAACTATGGAATACAATAGAATTATCGTAATAATATATATGTTTGGTTAGAAAAATCTACAAACTTGCATGACAACACATTTTTGGTGTATAATCATTCCAAAAAATCAAAGGATTTTAACAAAGCAGTAAAGCAGTACTACACATCGTTCACAAACAAATACTCTCACATAGTTACATGTAACTACACGAGAGATGTACCTATTTACGAACAATATATAATTCCAATTTACTAAAATGAACTAATTTTTTTATGGAAACCTTATGAGCCCAAAATATGTTGCCATGCCATTTTGTAGAGTTTTTTTTACTATATTTGGATATTATTACAATTATTTTATGAAATTACCATAGAATAATCGTAATAATATCTAAATTTTGCTAGAAAATTCTGGATACTTGCATGAGTTTTTTTGGTGTATAATCATACCAAAATTTTTATTTGTTTTAACAGTGCAACACTCCACATTGTTCGTAGATGGATATATATATATATCTCTCACATATGTATCTATTTATGAACAATGTATAATCCCACTTTATTAAAGCGAATTGATTTTTTTGTCGAAAGCTTATGGAACCAAAATATGGTGTCATACCGGTTTATAGAATTTTTTTGCCCATATTTTAGAAATTATTATAATAATTATTTTTTGAAATTACCATAGAATAATCGTAATAATATCTACATTTAGTTACAAAAATTATCTTTCATCGTATAATAAAAATTTAAAAACATCTCTATAATATTAACTCTAAAAGATATTCAAAACTTTATCAAATTATTTATGTGCATTTTCATTTTTTGCAATATGGCACTCAAAAAAGTAAAAAATTGGGGGGATATGGCATGCAAAGTTTGAACCTACGCCAGCAACAATGGGTAGTAGCAGGATAACCACCAAACCATCTTTGTGTTCATGTCAAATTATGCACAATATATTTGATCAATGACTATCAATGGCCCAGCACTGAAAAAAACCTTGTTACGCACCCCACCTTAGGAATCGAACCTGGCTACTTCGGGCATAGCTAGGGAAGGAAAGATGAACCATTTGAGCTACAAGGCATGTTGTGTTTTTAGAATTTATTCATGATATTTAAATATTACTACAATTATTTGTAGAATTATCATAGGGTAATTGTAATAATATCTAAATTTGGCTAGAAAATTATGTAAACTTGCATGATGACATGTTTTTGTGTATAGTCATTTCATAAAAAATCTAAATGATTTAAAAAAAATAATAATATATGTTGTTCACAAATGGATACATCTCTAGTGTAGTTATATGAAACTATATGAGAGATATATTTATTTGTGAACAATGTATAGTCTCACTTTATTGAAATGATTTGAAAATTTTATGGTATAGTCTCACTTTATTGAAATGATTTGAAAGTGAGACTCATAATATGCCTACATGGCAATTTTTAGAATTTGTAGACCAACTTATGGTATTATTATAGTTATTTTGTGATAATTTTGAGATAGAAGATTGAATTATCTGTAGTAAACAATTGGATTCTTTATCTATCTTTAGGACATGGGCTTTAATAAAATATATGAGCCTATAATTTAGTGTAATTTTTAGTATTATTTGAGGTACACTTAATTCTATTTGGAAATAGTTTTAGATAAGCACATAATAATTTATTTAAACTTTAGACAATAGTAAATCACTTCTAATTTTTTTAAACTTCTACACAACAACATAACTAATTTGATTGTTAATTCCTCTGTTTCAAATTATAAGTCACTCTGAATTTTTTTACATCCATTTCGCTATGCATATAGATATAATGTATGTCTAGATACATAACAAAATAGATATACTAACAAAGTCAAAACGACTTATAATTTAGAACGGAGGGAGTACTTGATAAATGTGTCTTGATAATTTGAATGTTGTTTTAGAAAATAATAAATCATTTCTAAATATAGTTAATGATGCAATTATTTTGGAATGGTGGGAGTACTAAACATCTGAACAACCTCACGTCAGGCCAAAGGCTTAAGAGCATCTCCAAGAGTTCTCTAAATATCCTCCTAATCCTTGCTTTTTAGAAAGACAACAACTCATAATATTTACTCATAGTCTTTTAGGACTTAGAAATTCCCTTTTCGCGTAACTTTACGCGGACGAAGCCACGCGCGGAGGCTGGACGCTTCACGAGGGCGGGGTCCACCGGCTGCTGCAGCGGCCTGGTGCGGCAGCGGAGGGTCGGCGTCGATGGGTTGTTGGTGCTGCCACCGGTGGCCGCGCTCTTGACGGCGTTGAAGAAGCCGTCACCGTTGGTGCTGCATGGGCTGGGCGCGTCGTGCTGCGGCCGGCGCTTCTTGTTCTTGGCGTCGCGGTCGCGGTCGTCGTCCCGCTGGACGGACGTGCACAGCGCCCTCCGCCACCCCGTCCCCATCCTTCTCCTCGGTCTTGGTTGGTCAGGCCAAAGACCCAAGAAGAAGCGGCTCCTACTTGCTTCCTACTCGCCGCGTCCTTCGCAGCACAGCCCATCGCATCGGATCGCGCGCGGGGAACAGCATGGCCGACGACGATGGTAGCAGCAACGGCGGAGGCATCAGGGAGGATGAGGTCCACGTACAGATCATAGGTCAGTCCTCCGCTCGTTATCTCTATATGACCGAGTGAACTATGTCGGGTCACCATTGAGGATGTGATGAGAGGAACACGGATGAGTATCATAGATTGGGTTTGCTCTGCAGTGGTGTGGAAGAAGGGAGGAAGGAAGGCGGCGAGCTGCAACTGGTGGCGCTGATCTCCCTCGCTCACTCTTTAATTGCTACGCACTGATGCTGCTAATAATAATACTACTACACAGGATGGCAGGAGGAGGAGGATGAGAGGGAGACCATCAATCACATGGGAATGGCATGGCAAGGGAAATCCTGGGTCGGAGGAGAGGAGCCTGCTCTCTCTGTCTCAGCAGCAGCAGCTGGCGGTGTGGATATGCGCGGCGATGAAGAGGTTCGCGTGGAAAAAAAGAAGACTGCAGAAAAAAACGTCAAATGAGATCAGTATTTAATTTTTTAAAGTTAAATATTAGAAACTATTGGAAATGAACTTTTTTTCTCCTAAAACTTTTTTGGAATTGGTAAACATAGACATTTTTAAAAAAATATTTAGGGAACTCTTAGAGATGCTCTAAGGCCCAGCTAACCCTATAGCGGATCTCGTCCATCCTTTTCGTCCGACGGCTCACGACGATATATTGCTAGTGAAACCCTACACGTTTCCCTTCTCGCATGAAATCCAAATGCCGACGCCCGGACTCTTCCTGTGCGCGCATCTATCTCACGCGACTCCCTCCGTCTTCTCGTGGACGGCGCATCCCTGCTCTGGCTCGTCCCCGGGCCGTGCGCCTAAGCTGCTGGGCGGGCAACAGCCCACCGCGCCGGCCTGTCCGCGTGCCGCGCCGCCGGCCTGGCCTTGGCTGGCCGCCGCAGCCACCCCTAGCCGGGTGGGCTGGCTGGCCACGCCACCGCCGTCCCTGGCCTCGGCGGGCGGGCTGGTTGGCTGTCGCCGCCCCAACCAATGTCATCCGAGACCACTACAGCTTTCGGATCGGGCGTACCCCGCCGTGCTACGCCGTACCGGGCCTGGAGGCTGGAGCTAGTTCGCCCGTGTCGATCTTGTCTGCGCTGCCTCGTCACGCTGTGCTCCTTCCGTCTGCTGTGGTGAGCTCCTATGGCATCTCTTCCTGCTGACGAATGTGTTCGATTTGCTGTGTTTCGAGTTACGAATCTAGGGTTAGGGTTGCAGTACTGTTCTCTGATACTATCGATGCTGCTGTGACCACTGCTGGAATCAACGAGTTTCCCTACGGTTTATTTGTTTCCCTACCATTTTACGATAGTCCAAGGGAGAGATTTGTTTCCCTACAGTCCTCTTTGCAACAGTGTTGGCTCTGCCGCAACGCTTGCGTGTCGTATTTCCTTACGAATGAAATAGAAATCCTAGGAACCAATTCCGCAGAGTCTAACCCTATACCCCCAATCTCTATGGTGCCAACTTCTCCCGCCATCCCGGCCACCATTTTTCCCCAGCCGCCCTATCCATTTCGCACCCGCGCTGTCTCCGTGGACCAAATCTCTAGCCAGAGTACGTGAGGGGCGCCGCCGTCCGAGCGCCTTCTACTCCCACGCGCCCCAAGCGCCGCCGCTCGCGGGCTCCAGATGCACCCCCGGCACCGCCGCCCGCACGCCACCGACCATCGGCCCCAGGCGCTGTCGCCCACGAGCTCCAAGCACGCCGCCGACTAGGCGCCCCAGCCCCAGGTACTACCGCCCGTTTACCCCAGCCACTGCTTGTGCGTCCATCTACTGTACCCAGCTCCGCCGCCGGTGTGCCAAAGCTTTAGATTTCAGAACCACAATAATTTCTTTCCTTGTTTTTGGCTAGGAATTTTGGTTCGGATTCAGTCAAGTTGCTGTTGGTGAAAGTGACCAATAATTTGCTTCCTCGTTTCCACTGGGCTTTGCTATTTCCTCTCCAGCTCGACCCATCAGTGAACATAGTAAGTTGCTTTTCTTAGTGATGGAAAAAACTGTGCCCTGAAAATTTGACAAAATTTGCGAAACAATGACGTGCTTGCGCATCACTAGTATTCCTATACGAATGGTTGAGTAACAAACTACATACATACATAGGCCACTTCTTGTTACTTGCATCAAATCAATACCTGACTCTGCGCATACTAAATTTACAGGCACACGTTCCCTCCTGTTTGTTCAGGGGAAAAATACTAGATGGGTTTTTATTTTTTACCCCTGAATCTTCCTGTACAATAACCAGAGTCATGATTGTACCATCGTACCATTTGCAGAGAAGGAATGCAAGGGAGCACAACATCTGCAGAAAGAAGCCGTGATAGTTTGTGTGTCGCTTGCTGAACCAACATTTGCAGGAATAAGGAGGGCAAGGTGAGTAGTGAATTTGCCTTTTCTTGGTGTTGTTTGTATTCCTACTTAAGTGAAAACAGAATTAGAAATTGTTTAATTGACTTGAGAGTGACAGAGACTATTGCAATTGCTGAATTTGTTTGGTGCTAAACTAGTCTTTGGTCATTTTCGAAAATCAGAAAGTCAGATAGACTGACTAGTAAGTGCTAAGCTTCTGAATTTTAGCTAGGAAATAAGTATTTTTGGTGCACTCACTAGTCATAGATTTGTTCATGAATGCTGAACAAAGAAGGCCTTTCTAATGTTAGCCTTTGTGCAACTGATTTCAGGTTCTGTTCATTTCTTGAAAATTAGAAATTCAAAAGCTTAGCAATAATTTTGTGCTGCAACCTAATAGGTGAATACTTAGTCCTCTCATGTGTCTAACTGTTTATAATTGTTTTTATTTTTAATGACTTGACTATTGAGTCCAGAGACTACTGTAAATCCTCTGATGAAATCTAGATCTTTTCTTAGTGTTTGTTTGGACTTGGAGTATCTCCATGTCTTTGTTACTAGTAAGCGGTATGTGTTTTGCATAGACTTCTTTGCCTGGTAGTTTTAATACATATTTGCACTTCATCACGTGAGCAATAATTTATAAACCTATTGTTTCAGTTTACTGTCCCAACGTGAGCCATGTCAGTAGAAGACCGTAGTTGGATGTATGAAGGCTGGAATGACAATGGTTGTTATTCCTTGAAATGGGTGCGAAATACAAATGCTTTTCTAGACCAGGCTTTTAGTGCTGTTCGTAATTTTGAAAGAATTGGGGTAGTTTGTCCGTGTTCAGATTGTGGCAACAAAGTTAGACAGAGAAGAGCTATCATGAGCATGCATTTGTGTAAGAGAGGATTTATGCCTGGGTGACATCTCATGTGCATCCTTATTTATCTTAGTAGTGCCTAGAACAACTTTTTAATATACATTGGATTGGATTGTTGAAATGCAGAGTGTTGTTCAGCACACTGGTATGCCTGCAACGTTAGTTCCTCCTCCTCTGCCTCCCCCACCCGCGCCTCCTGTATATGCCGATCCACCATCTTCAAATCCCTCTCTCAACAATGTAAGTTTGATGATTAGCATGCTTATTTTTTTATCTTTGTATGTGCACTGGGACTTGAGGTTTCTATCTAGTAGTCCTGTAGAGTTTCAGCTGCTTGGTATGTGCATTATTTCTTCTGTAGAACATTGTGTTTGCTAATTAGATATGGCTTAGTAATGTCAGTTGTAATGTCATTCACACAAGTAGTACATTTCAACTAGTTTATTATGTTTGGCTTAGTAATGTCAGCTGCATAACTAGCCTATGTTTGGCTTAGTAATATCAGTTGTACATCACATGTACAGGACCTAGAACTTTGGCATTACCTTTCAGTGCAATATATATTCAAACTTGTTATAATTTTTCCTCACACTTCTACTTATTTAATTGTTTTTCCTGTTTAATTGAATAGGCTTGTACCGGTGGCTCTTCTGTTGGAATAGAAACTCCCGATGAAAAATTGAGTAGAATTGCTCTTGGAAGATTCTGTGGCCATGAAAATACAGCAACTACAAGTGGTGGTGGTACCTACTCTCCGCCGCAGGATGAATTTCCATTCTTTTGACATCTTTTGTTGCTAAAACATGGCTTGGACAACATGCAGTTTTGTTTTGTTGCTATAAAATCCATGGATTGGACAAGAACTCCTTTTGGATCTAGTGTTTGATTGTTTTGAGGCCTAGTAGCTGTAATGTATTAGTGAACATCATAATTGTATTGTGATACTGCAATGTATGTGTTAATGAATGCACGTAATCGATGCTCATTGGATCGTGTCCATGTGGTAGAATTTGAATTTTGTATTTAAATTTAAATACAAATATGCATACAAATTACAATTCGACGTGCTAGGATTAATTTCCTACCGATCATTTAAAGTCCTAGAGAAAGCAACTTTACAGGTAGGATGGATCATGGTGGTGTCAGTAGATTTCCCTACAGACTTGTTTCCTAGATTTCCCTACAGACTTGTTTCCTAGGGAAACAAAGAGCCCCTACGGTTCGTAGGGCACTAACCTGTTTCCCGTCAAAACATGCCCTAGAAAACGTTTCCTACGAAACACCCTAGGAAAATGGTTTCCCTACGGTTTTTGGCCGTTTCCCTAGGAATTGGAACTCTAGGCAAACAAGTGGATTGTAGCAGTGGACATCGCCGTAGAAGCGGTGGTTCTTTTTCTTGCTGTATGCAGTCGCTTTAGTCTCTTGCTGCCCCTTGAAGGAGCAATGTCAATCACTGCATGTTGTACTGTGTGTGTTGTACTATATGTCTATATCCATGTGGGAAATTGAACATGTTTGAGTTTTTGCCGATACGTAAGTGAATCCAGTACCAAATGGTGTGGTTGCAGACTTTTTCATTTGGGGGCAGACCTGTACTTAATTTGTATCCTTCCTAACCAGATACAGAGTCTGTTCAATCCAAAGTAAATAAGGATAAGTTAGACAAAATGCTCTATGATGAACTACAGTTCTTTTAGGTTCAGTCATAGTCTCATAGACAACTTATTATGAAACTCTTATTCTACGTCCAGGCATAGATGAAATTAGACATCCCAACTAACATAGCTGTAACCAAATGAGTTATCAGCTAGCTACTACCTGCTATGTATGCTTTGTATGAAAACAAGAATAGTGCTGAATATTGTGAGAAAATTATAATTATAGGACACCAAACAACGCGCTTCGTAATTATAGGACTCTAATCGTCGACTTCATTAAAATGACCTTGAGCTTCTTATTTTAGATGACATTTAACGTATTTCTTCACTTTATTAATCAAAATACATGTATTTTGGCTTCCCAGCTTGCCGTCGTCCTCATCCTGCTCCTACCACTCGCCGGCGCGTCCGCCTCTGATGGTGGATTCATCCGGTAGGTGATGGATGGTCGTTCCCGCGCCGGCGCGGGCCCGGGGCTGCTCCCGAAGGTGCAGTTCGCGGCGTTCGTGAGGCGGCACGGGCGGCGGTACTCCGGGCCCGAGGAGTACGCGCGTCGGCTGCGCGTGTTCGCGGCCAACCTGGCCCGCGCGGCGGCGCACCAGGCGCTGGACCCGACCGCGCGCCACGGGGTCACGCCCTTCTCCGACCTCACGCGGGAGGAGTTCGAGGCGCGCCTCACGGGCGTGCGCGCCGGCGGGGACGTCCAGCGGCTCGTGATGAGTGGCGTGCCGGCCGCCCTGCCGGCCGCGCAGGAGGAGGTGGCGCGGCTCCCTGTCAGCTTCGACTGGCGCGACAAGGGCGCCGTCACCGGCGTCAAGATGCAGGGCGCGTGTGGGTCGTGCTGGGCGTTCACCACGACGGGCGCGGTGGAAGGCGCCAACTTCCTCGCCACAGGGAAGCTCCTCGACCTCAGCGAGCAGCAGCTGGTCGACTGCGACCACACCGTACGTGCATCACTGCGCTCTCTCGATGTCTTCCCACTTGGAATGAATTCGTCCAGTTCGATGAAGGATTATTAGAGCATGCTGGTTTGGTTTGTATGTTCCAGTGCAGCGTGGTGGCGCAGAACGAGTGCAACAACGCCCCTACTGGATCATCAAGAACTCGTGGGGGAAGCAGTGGGGGGGAGCACGGGTACTACCGCCTCTGCCGCGGCAGCAACGTCTGCGGCGTTGACAGCATGGTCTCCGCCGTCGCCGTGGCGCCGGCGCCGTGAACCAACCCAATCCACCGCGGCCGGCCGCCATGGGTGTACTCGTGACACGGAAGTTCCGGACGTGGCATGGTATTGTCTGCAGGTGGTAGTGCGTGGCTCATACACCGTATACATGTATTTTGATTAACAAAGTCAAGAAATACGTCAAATGTCATCTAAAATAAGAAGCCAACGTTTCAAAGGTCATTTTAACGAAGTTGACGATTTGAGTCATATAATTACGAAGCGCATTGATTTGTGTCTTATAATTGTAATTTTCTCGAATATTGTCTGGCAAACCTAACATGCGAAAATAATATTTTCATTCTGTTAGTTCTGCATTTTTATGTTTCTATAGCAAAATAACATAAAATTGTGTTGCCTGAAAAAAGTATGTTATTTTTTTGAATCCATGTTCAGCTAGCTGCTATAGATGACTACTATCGCAGAATGAGTACTTCAATGCCACAGCACCAACCTTGTGCGAAAGAAATGAAACGACTCCACAGATTGAAGAAACATCACGGCAGGTAATTTCAAAATGCAACTTGTTTATATCCATAGACTACTGCACTGTACGAGCCCATAATATTTTTCTCTATTTTATTGCTTTACAGCCTAGCAACCTGAAAACACAACTTGCATCTAGGACAACTGCATGTATGAATAATCGCACCACTAGAAGTAGTACTCTTAATCGGACTCTTGTGGCAGAACCTTCTAAATTATAGGGCCCACATGCATCTGTCACTATCCAAAGACCTCTGACAACTATGTATATGTTCCCGGCAACTTAAGAAGACTGTCGGGTGTCCTCGGGGAATCCTGAATCATCCATGATTTCCGAGTAGGATCACATTACAGAGTCATTGTAGTATTACAACATTTATTTAAATATCTACACCAGAGTAAATCAGCGAAAGTCTTACAATAACTTAGTATACAAAACAGTAGTTTCAAACCTTACAACTAAGTTTGATAATTATTACAAAACGTAGTAGTGGAGTGGTATTATAACATAATACAAACACACAAATAGATTGCCCTGTCCAAGGGTCACGCATTTACTTATCGTCATCGCATTGAACAACAGTCATGCAGCACGGTCCAAAGCAGACCTGCTCATGAGCCTCACCTACAACAAGGGTCAACGAACCCTGAGTATAAAAGTACTCAACAAGACTTAACCGAAATAGAAACTGATAGAACTAAGGAATACAGGCTCAGGGATTCAAGGTATGGCTTTTGCAATAATCAAAGTTCTTTTGCGTAAAAGCTCTTTAACAAAATTCTTTATATCAACATTTAAAAACTTCATAAGATCATATACAAAGCTGACACAATCCGTATTGAGATCATGAAACTTTATATCCAACACCTTCTCAAACCAACCTCAAGTTCCAGTTATTAAACTACGATGATGAACAGTGAGTTGAGTCTCCATAACCGAGGAGCAACGACGATTCGAACCGATTAAAACCCAGCTGGGAATTTCAGACCACACGACATATGCAGGTCCTCGACCTACCTACATATACCAACCTCCCTCAGATCCTCTAAAACAAGAATGGGTCCGCGCCACCTGAGAATACAGTACTCCACCAATCCAGCCCATTGCCACGTGGGTACACGCTATTCCCGCCATCTCTCCACTCCCAGTGCGCGAGTAGCCATTCTCGTAATAGAATAGCCAAGTTAAGGCTTACCGGAGTATGTGGTTAGTACTACAAAGTCTCACCTCATGCAATTCAACAACGGACGGACCTTAATCGACACAGGCGGAAAGAATCCACTCACAAGACCTCCATGTCTTGTGGCTCTCACACACCGAGTTCGCCCGGTGTAGATTTATTACTCCACATTTCCATATCACATGATAACATAAGTAACCAAAGATCCATTTAGAATTTACAGGTGACAGATAATCACCAGACCTTTATCTGTCTAAGCATAGCTAAGCATAACTAGGCATATACGAATTAAAATTGGTAACAAGGTAGATATGAAAAAATAAGGTTGGTAATGCACCAATTAGATTTTCACTTAACTCCTAATCACTTAATGCAGTAAAGAAAAGCAAAAGCGAAATCAATTTGTAAAACACAAAGTAGGTTTAAATGCATCCGGGGCTTGCCTTCGTTAACGGAAAAGTTATGTTCCGGAGTCATTCCACAATTATCAAACCCGACCTCAACAGGCGGATTAACTTTCTCCACAACTTGATTAACTACCACATGCTCACCTTCATTCACTACACATAGTAACAATGCCATGTTTAACATGATGCGAGATATAAAACATGATGCTCGATGATGGATGAAAAATTAACAACTTGAATACAACTTTCCTTCGCGGTACAGTTACAAGTCAAACTAACAAAATCTTTTTCGTAACACTTAATTCCATTGCCAAGGATCATTTTCAACTAATGACCCAAGGTCATCACTCAGTCCAAAAATTCAATCAAAACCTAAATCACTAAAGGTTACTATTTGCTTTTATGAATTAATTATTTAATTAAAAATTATGAAATAAATCAACTTGTTTCAATTGAGCTTAAATTCTTTTGTAAAGGTTCATCACATGCTAACTAAGTGGCAAAACAATATTCATAATTTTTGGATAAATAAATAAGCCTAGAAAAATCATGGAAACTCATTTATTAATTAATTGAGCAATTTTTATCACATTCAAAAAGTACTGAAAATCAACATTTCATATTTTTCCTAAATAATATACATCATAGATAAGTCACACAAAAATTTTCATAATTTTTGGAGCTCTAAATAAATCTACACAAAAATAACAAAAACATACACTATTCATTCATCTCTGAAAATTGAAAAATTCATTTACAAACACTGAGTCACTGACAGCCCGACCCCACTAGTCATCCCCAACCACCGGCGCTGACCACGGCGACACGCGCGCTGACCGGCGATTTCTCGCCGACGGCGAGGTCAACGGCGACGGCCAAGGTACCACCGTGATCACAACGACGAGGCGCATCGATTGGTGGCACAAATCGCACCGATTACTGCCAACCCAAGCTCGGCACCGGCCATGGTGGACATGGTGGCTCGGCGACACTACGCCGGCGACAGGAGCCCGGTAGCGATTAAATAAATGGATAGGAAGGTTCAGCAGGTCACCCAAAACACGACTGAGCAAAGAGCAAGGCTGGAGGAGCAATGGAGACGTGGTTCGACGGTCACAGCGGCCACGGCGGAGCAACGGTCGTCGGTGGCGGTGTTCCGGCGACTGCAGTGGTCAAAAGGATCAAACCCCCAGTCGTAGAGCATCACGGGATCAAGGCGAAGCTAGAGCTACACTGAGCAAGAGCAAAGACGCACCGTGGAGCTCTGGCCACGGCGACGCGCTTGCTACGGCGGTACTGCTAGCCGCGAAGAAGAAAGGCGGCGAGCGGCGATTCCCGATGAAATCAAGTGACCAGAGTTGGTTGGCTAGGTGCCCAAGGAGTAGGCAGAACTGGAACAAGCTTTGCCGAGACGGTGGAGGCACTACGGCGACGGCAAATGCACGACGGAGCAGCGGCGATGGCGACTGGAAAGCAGAGGAGGAGAGCGGCGAAAAACAGCGACGGTGAAGTCCTTATAGAGCGGCTCAGAAGCAAGGAGAAGCCACGCAGGGCCTTTCCTGCGCTAGCGCGAAGCTAAGGACGGCCACGGCGACGACCAGAACGAGATAGAAGCTCGCCGGCGATGAGGTGTCTTCCACGGGCACTGTTCCCCATATTTACATAATTGCCATTCGCCAAAATCTTCAAATTACTCCCAAATTTATGTAACAACTCAAAAATCTCCAAAAATAAAAGTTGTTCAAAATTCAAAGTTCTACAACTTTGCTTTTATTATCACCCCCTAATTCGGTCTACATTTTGAAATGCAAATTTGAATTAAAAAATGGGACATTTAAAGAATTAAGCCTTTTCAAATTACTTTAAATTTTTCTAAACAACTTTTTAAAACTGCAAAAACCAACTTTGTACAACTCAACAAGCTCTACATTTTTGCTTTAAGGCTCAACCCCAAAATGTACTTTGATTTTGAATTAGGTTTTTCTGGGTAAAACAAATCACTGGAAATCAGGGTTTTCGGAAATCCAAATCCAAACAAAACTTTGAACTTGATCCAAACCATACAAGGGAATACTTATAACATAAATGTAAACTTGTTTTAGTAAATGCATATCAAAGTTTTCACCAAGGCCAAATGCTTTGCAATGCATATGATGACATGGCAGGTTTTAGTATTTAAAACACCTGAGGTGTTACAATCCTTCCCCCTAAAAGAAATCTCGTCCCGAGATTCAAAGTCATAGGATAAGTAATGGAAAAGGAAATGTGTCAATCCAAAAACATCCAAAACCCGTTCATAAAACAGCTAAGGTTCCTTTACAAACATGGTTCGTAAGAACAGAGCAAAACTAACATTCTTCTATGTTGACGCAAGAAACTCTGGAAATTTTTCTAACAAGTAATCTTCGGATTCCCAAGTAGCTTCTTCTGAATGTTGATTCCATTGTATCTTGTAGAACTTGATTGTCCTCCTTCGAGTAACACGATCTTTCTGATCCAAAACTCGGATAGGATATTCGGAATAAGTCAAATCTGGTTCAAGTTCCACTCCTTCAACCTCAACATTCTGCTCAGGCACTCGGAGACACTTCTTCAATTGAGAAACATGGAACACATCATGTACAACTGATAGATGTTCTGGTAATTTCAAGCGATAGACCACTTTTCCATACCTCTCTAAAATTTGAAACGGTCCAATATATCGAGGTGCCAACTTGCCTTTAACACCAAAATGGGTAACTCCCTTCAATTGTGATACCTTCAGATATACAAAATCTCCCTAGTTAAACACCAATGGTCTACGTCGTTTATCCGCATAACTCTTTTGTCAGGACTGAGCTATCTTCAAATTACTTTGTATTTGCCTAACCTTGTCTTCTGTTTCTTTCACAAGGTCAACTCCAAAGAACCTTCTTTCTCCGGG